CGAATCCATCAGAGCGTGATACTGCTAATAAAGCTGATCTTGAAGCAAGACTAGAAGTGCTAAAGGATTTGTTAAAAAATTATGATGATCCTGGTATAATTTTAGACGTGGTTGTATTCTTTGATGGGAGTGATTGGAGAGTTGTTATTGATGTTGATAAAAGTTGTGACTTGAGAGGTTGCATTCAAATATATTAAATTTAGTTATTTTCTATATTCCTTTGTATTATCAACAATATATTAACTATTGAAATTATAGGCGCTCCACTTTTAACTGATTACCGAAAGGAGCGACAATATCACACTTTCAGCAAGGAAGATAAAATGAATTTTTCTGTTAATATTTACGAGGAAGGAAATATTGTCAGGTGAATATTATTATTAATTATGTATTTCATTACATTTATACATTAAAATCTTACAATATCAACTTTATTTTCGTTATTATAAAGTATTGTTACTACATCTCATGATCACGGAACTCACGTTGCAGCTATTTCTGCTGCATATCATCCAGATGAGCCTATTCTTAACGGGGTATTCAATATTTAGAAATCAAATGTAAATTATTGTTAATTTATTATATGCTTTAAAAGAAATATATGTATTATTTTTTTTTGTTTGTTAATGTGATTGCTATAGGTTGCTCCAGGTGCACAAGTAAGAATTTATTTATTGTACTTGTATTTATAAAAATGTAAAACATTAACAATTATTATCGTACCAAATTTTATGTTTATGTATAGATTGTTTCACTTAAAATTGGCGACACTCGATTAGATGGTATGGAAACTGGTGCCGGATTGGCAAGGGCTGCTATATCGCTCGTGGAAACTAAATGTGATCTTGCCAATATGAGTTTTGGTGAAGCAACAGCTGTGCCAAATTATGGTCACTTTATTGAATTAATTCGCGATGAAGTTGTTGGAAAACATGGTTGTATTTTCATAAGTAGCGCTGGCAATAATGGTCCTGCTTTGAGCACAAATGGTGCACCCGGTGGTACCTCTAGCGGTATGTGAAATTTCTCTTCCGTTTATTTATTTAAGATCCTGATTATGATGTGTAACTACGGTATTTTTCATTAGATGTTATTGGAGTTGGAGCCTATGTTAGTCATTCAATGATTCAAGCTGAATATGGGCTTCTTGAGTCAGTCCCTGAACGTGCGTACACATGGTCTTCTCAAGGTCCTAACACTGATGGTGATATCGGTGTTACAATATATGCCCCCGGAGGGTAGTTTATTTTTACACATTTTGATTAAAATCTTTGATTTAT